AAGATATTTTGTAAAGCAATGAATTAACATATAGTAACGATGGTGGACACATCTTGTTCAATGCTGAATTAACGTGATCCCAAGCATGAATGAATGGGAGTTAAACATCGTATGTGTAGATCTGTCAAAACTTATCTTTGTTTTTCAGCTCGGAGATAAAGGATGATTTTTTTTTTTTATTTTGCAACCCCCTAATGTGCCGCCCTGGGCGGCCGCCTCATTCGCCACCCTAGGTGCCACTGGCTCAAAATCTGTTTTTTTTTTTTTTTGGTTTTTTTCTGGGGGGGGGGGGGGGGTGTTAGAGAGAATTCAATTTCAAGAAGAAAAAAAAAAGGGGGGGGGGGATTAATAATCAGTGTATAAAATTGTATTACACTCCTTTGACGTTGAACACGTAAGCCTTAGCATAAAAACATCAAATAATGTCAACTGTTTGTAGTCAACAAACACGAACGAAATGAAGAGTTGTTGTTTTATTGTTGTTGTTGTTTTCAACGTGTGTGATTTACGGTGATTCGATGACTTTCCACACAGTTGACCGAAACAGAAAGGTCATCATGAATAAGTCCAACGACAAGCGTATGCATCATCTTCTAAGACTGATCCACGTTGTACCGAGAGCATCATCTCCCGTGACTGATCCACGTTGTACCGAGGACTAGACAGCGCTGTGGGGCGGAAACAACTACTCCAGCAGTCACACGCACCGAAAATGAAAGTTTTGAAAAAAGAGTTCTTTCGAAACGCATGGCTATCTTTAGCTCCGTGTTTTATTATGAGATCGATCCCTCGCATCGCATCCATTTAAAAATATCCATGACAGAGATTTAAAAGTAGTGAAATCAATCGATAAGGTTCGAGGAGCTAAAACTATATTCTAAACTACTGTGAGCCATGAACACTATATTTTATTGAAGCTGAATAAACTTAGTAAATCTTTTATAACACAATGTTGGTGTTTCAGTCACAATAACCGAGTATCACATTTTGCGATTATCACATAAACCCATCGAGTATCGCATCAAAAATAAGCGAGTATCGCATCAAAAAATAAGCGAGTATCGTATCACAATAATCGAGTACAGTACCCCATTTAGTGAGTATCGCATCACAGTTAGCAAGCGTCGTATCAAAATAAAATGATGAACAGAAACTTAAAACCCATAGTTGCTGACAGCGGCGGAATCAGATGGCGGACACATGGGTGTATATCTCATCTTGCGTTTCACCCTGACTATCAAAGATACCGGCAATGCTGAAATTTGTGGAAATGATAATCGTAACGTTCTGACTTAACAAATCGTACCGTTCTCAAGTGCCTCGATTTATGTTTTAATGGAACCGATACTCGCAGTTACCTACAGTTTCGGCTACACTAAAATACTTCAGATAAGACAGAAGCGGTAGGTAAGGCGTCTATGTTTTTAACAAATCAATTAGGGTTTTTTTTCTAGGGCTGTATGAACAACCAGTTTATCAGTTGTTGTTGGTTTTTTTTTAAACACACTTAGAATAGTGGTTCTTAACCTGGGTTCGATCGAACCCCAGGGGTTCAGTGAGTCAGTCTCAGGGGTTCAGCGGAGGTCCAAAAAAAAAAAAGAAAAAAATAATATTTTTTCTATTTTTACTATTAAGAAGGGTTCGGTGAATGAGCATATGAAACTGGTTGGGTTCGGTGCCTCAAAAAAAAAAGGTTAAGAACCATTGACTTAGAGCCATTGTTTAATGGTCATCTTTTTTTCAATTAAAGTTTAAACTAGATCAAATTCCGGTACTTAAATTCTTATATTTAAAAGAGTTCTTCTCGTTTAGATTGCACAACTAAATATGGTATCCAGTTCTTTGTCCTTTGAATAATGGATGACTAATCCATAACTATCGGTCATCTTAAACATGCCTCAAGATTTTGTTAATACTTTTATTTTAATTTATTTTTAGGATTAGAGAAATGGGGACCCATGGTGGGACTATTACGTTATCATTATCATGATTTCTTCAAATCACTGAAGTAGTTCCTGCCCCTACCCCCGGGGGGGGGGGGGGGGGGGCGGGGGGGGTTAATGTAGCATTTATTTTTGT